GGGGTCTACTTCATTTTATATTTGAGAAAACTGAGCTTCAGAGGGTTAGGTGACTTATCCAAGGTCACACAGCTAGTAGAAGTCCAAGGCAGGATTTAAACCCAGGTCCTCTTTGCTCAAAATTCAGTGCTCTAGTCACTATAGCTCTGCCTAGGTCACAGGTCCCATACAAATCATTACTATAATGAAATAAATATATACATACCACCCCAGGTTATGTGTTACAAGTATATTTCTTTAGGGAAGGAAGTAAGCACTTATTAAGTACCTACTGTGTTCCCAGCACTGTGCTAAGTACTTTACAGTTATCTTATTTGATCCTCACAACAAAGTAACTAGGTGCTATTACTATTTCCATTTTACAGTTGAGGAAACTGAGGCAGACAGAGTTTAAGTGACTTGCCCAGGGTCACACTAGTAAGTCTCACACACAATAGTGTCTAACCTGGATTTGAACTCAGGTCTTCCTGGTTCCAGGCCCAATGCTGTATCCGCTGCACCAGCTACCTGCCTATTTATCCCTTCAAGGCTGCCCTTGCTGTTCCCTAAGAGGTGATGAAAGAGCTAGAGATGTTTTGTTTGGTAAGAGGAAGATTTGGGGTGGACATGATCGCTGGATTTTTATGGAAGAGGGAATTGACTGTGTGGCTGCCTAGACAGGAGCTACTATGGTCACAGAAATTCCACAGGATATCAGTGGCCATCTAGTGTAACCCATACCTGAGAGGAAAATGAAGAAGAATTCCCTCGAGTTACAAAGAGCTGTATTTTGGTTCCGCAGAAGCACATCTAGAGCTGTCCAACAGGGGACCTCGAGAGGGCCTTGATAGGTAGTGATCTCCCAGCCACTGGAAGCAGTTGAGCAGAGGCTAGACGCCTTCCTGACAAGGCCATTGTGGAGGGAATTCCCACAGAGGGTGGAACGTGGGACTGGTTGGTTTCAAAGGGCACAGAATTTGGGTATCGGAAGGAGCCTCTGCGACCATCTAGTCCAGCCCAGACAACAAAGGAATCCTCTACAACAAGGGCCATTGGGCCTTTGCTTGAAGGCCTCCTACGGGAGGCATTCTACTTCCCAACCTCCCCAAGCAGCTCCTTCCACTTATGGTTAGCTCCAATTGCTAGGAAGTATTTTCTGACATCAAGTTGGCCTCTTGGCATCTTCCCTTCCATTGTCCTGGTTCCTCGATCTACCCTCTGGGGTGAAAGAGAACAAGCCCAGTTTCTCCTCTTCATCACAGCCCTTCAGATACATGAAGGCAGCTATCAACTATCCCCCCTCCCCCTTGAGTCTTTTCTTCTTCAGGCTAAACAATCCCAGTTCTTCCATCAGTCCTTATATGACATGGTCTCTAGCCCTTCACCAATCTGGTTGCCTTTCTCTGGACCTTCTAAAGCTTACCAATATCAGTCCTACAAGATGGCCTCCAGAACTAAGCACCACCCTCTGAGGCCCATGAGATAGACTCTTCACCTCGAAGCTTCTGTAATCTAGCATGTTAGAATGTTCTTCTCCAGTAGCTCTGGTCCTGGCTGAATATTGGCTTGAGCCTGTGTTTGGGAAAGGATGCGAACATGGGCCTCTTCTACATTCTTCTCCTCTTCCTCTTTCTTTAGCTTCTTCCTCTCTCCCTAAGTAACCTGGAGAATGCTTGTTGGCTGTCAGACTGGGATGGATCTGGCGAATGGAATTGGCCTTGTGTGGTCAGACTCAAGCTCTTACTGTCTCTTTATGTGCCCTCATCAACGCTGCCTGATTCCTTGGGTAGGAAGTCAAGGAGCAGGAGAGGACAATGAATATATGTATAGCTTTGGACTTTGTCTGGATGACACCTCACATTTCTATAGCACATTAACATTTTAGAAAGCAACCCTGGGGTACAGGAAATACATCTTCATTTGACAGGCGAGGAAAATGAGCCTCAAAAGTGAAGTGACTTGCCCAGGGTCCGAGGGTTGGAGTTGCTGAGTGTCAGATATGAGATTTGACCTCTCTTGGGTCTCACCCCGACCATCCTACTAGCCTCCTAGCCCATCTCCCTCCAATTCATTTCCTCTTCAACCACAGGAGCATTGAGTGTCAGAGTTGTCAGGGACCTTAGAGACCACCTAGTCCAACCTGTGCTTGAAGAAGGGTCTCCAGGACAACACTAGAGGTCATGCAACCTCACCTCCCAAGGCAGCCTGGTCCATTTCCACCTCCATCTCGCTCTGTCCAGTTGTCTTCCACGTGTATTGCTGATTCTTGCAGGGTTCTCAGTAAGAAGGGAAGTGCTTTGCAAGTCTTTAAATGCCATGCAGAAGAGTGTTATTATTGTTCTCTTTCTGTATTTATAGTTATTTCTGTAGCTCTTTTTAGCGCTCTTCATCATGTCTTCCCCTGAACTGCTGCTGGCTTCGCTCATGTATATGTGTTTTGTTTCCCTGACTGGAAGGGAGATCTTGGGTCACAACTTCGGATGTGTGTCCTGCAGCTCCCAACAATGCTGGGCCCATTTATCAGTGCTGAACAAACACTTGTGACATGGTCGCATAAGTGAATGAATGAGCCAAAGGCTGTGTGCTACAGGGTTCTGGGTGCAGTGGACAGACACAGGATTTATGGGTTGAGAGCAGAAAAGGCTCTTAGAGATCTTCTGGTCCAGCCTCCTCATCTTATAGATGCAGAAACTGTGGCCCAGGGGTGCAGAGGCTGGCCCACAGTCACACTGGAAGTGACTGTGGTGGTGAAGCAAGATTTGGACGCAGACCCCCTGACCTCAGGCCTCTCTGGCCTTGTCTGTTTCTCTACTGCTGTGGGAGCCTTCGGCCAGGAAGAGATCCAGGTGGGGTTTGGGGTCATTGGGGAAGGTGCAGAATGGAGAATAGGAAGTGATCTGGGCCTTGAAGGATGAGCAGAATTTGGAAAAGATAAGAACATATGGTAGAAACCAGCAGAAAAGCCCACAGTTGGTGGCTGAAATGAGTCAATTGTCACTCAGCAGCCTTCTCTCAGTCCCTGGTAACTGTCCTCTTGTAATCCCTGGTGGCCCTGGAGCTGCTGCCTCAGCACATACCAAGGAAGTGGCTCAGCCCTTGGGCCCATGGTCTTCACTATTCAGAGTTCAATTTCACATTCCCAGTAACCGAGCTGCTGAAGCAGAAACTAAATATATAGCTTCTCTCTCTCCCTTCCCCCATTCCCCCTCCCTCTCTCCTCTCCCTCTCCCTCTCTCTCCTTCCCTCTCTCCCTCTCCCTTCCTCTCCCTCCCCCTCCCCCTTCCCTTCTCCCTTTCCCTCTCTCTCTTCCCCTTCCCCCCCCTCCTCGCTTTCCTCACTCCTACCTTTAGGGTGCTGAGTCCTTACACCTAACCTACTGGAACTAATACCCCAAGCCCTCTGTCTCTCTCCTCTTCCTCCATCATCTTTCTCTGTCTGCACAGGACAAGTGCCTTGAACCTATGATATTGGTTCTATATGGTACCCAGAGAATCCTCTCTCTGTCTCTCTCCATCTATCCTTCTGCATTATTTAAGTTGTCCCACCCTCTATTTATCCTCTCTTCCCTCTCCCCTACCCTCAGCTTGTCGCCATGAATACTGGGTTTTTGCCCCTTTGATGTCAGGACTTCCCAGTGCTTAAAGACTCTGTCTTCTCTCTCCATAATTCAGATGCCTTGTAACTTGAATGTTGGGGCTCCCTGTACTCTGAGAGTCTTGCTTCCATGAAACTGGGTCTTCTTCTTCTTTCACTAGGGGTCAGATGCTTCAAAGGAACCCCTCTTTTCTTTCCCATGGACAAGATAAAAAAGAAATACTCTCAGAAGGAGACCATCCTCTCTCCAGCAAGCCAGGCTGCCCCTGGAGGGCAGGACCTGGAACACAGAAGGTTCAAGGCTTGGACCATTCATTCCTTCCACACCTACAGCATGTCTGACCATTGCAGCTCCTTCTCTCCCAAGAAATGGCTAACAGGCCAGAGTCCCCATTTCCTTTCTAGGCACACGTCCTGTTTTTCCCTAGGAAACTCTCTTCAGGGACAACTCACTTACCCACTCTCCCTGGGTCTCAGTTCCCTCCTTCATAAAATGAAGATATTGATGAAATGATCTCCAAGGTTGCTTCCAACTCCAAATCCTCCACTTTCCAACCCACCTTTGGCTAGCCTTGGAAAAAGGAGACCAAGTTGGATGAAAGACACTGTAATGAATAGAGATCTAGATTTGGAGCCAGGAAGACCTGGGTTCAAATCCTACCTCTGACTCTTCCTACCTATATGACCTTGGGTTTCTCCTTTGTAAAATGATAGGGTTGGGTTAGATGGTATCTGAGGTCCCTTTTAACTCTGTATCTATGACTTAACCTCTAGGACAATGGTTCTTTACCTTTTTTGAGTCATGGACCCTCTTAGTAGTCTCATGAAGCCTAAGGGCCCCTTCTCAGAGCCATATGTTTTACCTACATTCATAATAGAAAGAAATATTAAATTTCAATTAGGTTATTGAAAATAAAGGTGTAATTTTCCCCCTCTCCAAGTGCATTGACCCCTGAAATCTATCCCCCAGGGGTGTGTGGACCCCAGGTTAAGAACCCCTTCTCTAAGGCAACTCTATCTATCTATGAAGTAAGAGGACTGGCTTTGGAATTGGAGAATATGGGTTTAAATCTCACCTCTGATGCTCACTACCTGAGTGATCTGGGTCAAGTAATTCTTGGAGTTTCTGTTTCCTCATCTGTAAAATGAAAAGATTGGACCAGAAGGCCCTGAAGTCCCTTCATGCTTGAGATTTGTGATCCTCTAATCTGAATTTCCTTATACTATAAAAGCCACAGCACCTTCTACATTCCCATGTAGAATGAGGAGGCTGATTGTACTGACTTCTGAAGTCCCATCCAGCTGTTAAGACAATGACTTTGGGTACCATATTTGCTCTAGGAATCTCTTTGAAGACTCAGCCCTTAAGTGTGTGATGGGACCTGAGACTCATCATTTGAGGCCACCATCTTCTGGTTGCTTTGTAGGTTGCATGCCCGGTACTACGAGCTAGCGCCCAACATCGTGCCCATGGACTACCGAAAGAACCCTATCGTCACCGTGCCCATGTCGGTCATCATACAAATGCCGGAGTTCAAGGTACTCTTAAGGACTTCTTCGGGAGAGGGCATAAAGAAAATCTTTGAGCTCTTCCAGGCTAGCCCATGAGGAGGGGCTGTAGAGAGCTATGGTGCTGTCTCATAGATTTGTCTCATTCATCCACATGAAGACTATGTTTTAGCCAAATTGGACGACTGACCATTCCTTGAACACAGTATTCCATCTCCTATATCTGTGCATTTGAATAAGCCCTTTCAAGTGCCTGGAAGGCATTCCTTCGTTTCTGCCTCTCAGGATCCTTGTCTTCCTTCACAACTCAGCTTAGGTGCTGTGAAGCTTCTGTGAAGATCATGACTCCTCCCTTTCCCTCCTCCCTCAATGTTCATTCTGTTATACTTACTTATAAACATGTTGTATGTTACCACCAATCTCAGTTTGGTGGGGTCTGGCTCATTTTTGTCTTTGTATCTCACCCAGCATAATGCTTTGCATGCATTAGGTAACTTAATAAATGTTTTGTTGAATTGAATTGGGTCTCTCCTCTCCCTCCTGCCTCTCTTTGTCTTTCTTCCAGTATCATCTAGTAGGGGAGATGACATATATTGATATAGTTATACAAAGGGATAGAATTGTTAGGAAGATCTTCCTTATGTGAACTGAAAACGTTATCAGTGGGGTGGAAGGTGTCAAAGGACTTGGGTTCAAAAAGTGGCTCTGCCACCAACTAGATGTGGAATCCCAGGCAAGTCATCTGATCCCTCTGAGATACTGTTTCCTCCTCTGTAAAGTTCCTTTCCAGCCTATGATCTTGTGATCCTAATGAAAAGATCCCTACTTGTATATATGTCAGCCAGATACCCAAATAAGCATAATACAAGGTAGAAAGGGTGAGTGTCACAGAAAGCAGTGAGCAAAGAGCTGGGGGAGGAGGTGGTCCAAACCAGAAGCAGATGGGGAGGCTGAGGCCGGGAGGGGTGACATCATCCAGCTGGGGCCACATGGCTAGTTGACAGCCAAGCCAAGACTAAAATCCCAGCTCTTCTGCCTTTCAGTCTAGGACTGTTCCTGCTAGGGAGGCAGGTTTCAGACAGAAAAAAAAGAGCTTCCTAACAATCAGAGCTTTATATATAAATATATATTAAATAGGAGCAAAGCAAAGTTGCAGTAGCTCAAAAGAAATGTGAGACGTGCAGATTTAGAGATATCTCCACTCTAAATGTTCATATGGACTACTTATAACTGATCAGTGGTAGAGCCTTTCAAGCTGATATTGGTCTGATCAGCCACAGTTGGACACACTGTACCTTGATCCCAATATAGTGATGGCTTTGTGGTCCTCTTTGAGCACAAAGGACAACAATCAATCAGCCATCTATCTACGTTATATACATGCAAGTACATACACATGGGCATATATCTATGTACATACGTATCTGTGTATGTTATATTACGTGTCTATATTTTTACATATTTTTTTTTACCAGACTTTTGATTTCACCTATCCTGGTTAGGAGCTCCTTCTTCCCAGGCAGATCTCCACCTGCACAAGTCTAAGGTTAAGTGACTTGTCCAGGGTCACACAGCCAATAGTATTTGAACCCAGGTCTTTCTGACTCTGAGGCCAACTCTGTCCACTACACCACCCTGTTTTCTCTCTATATATATGTACACATACATGTACACACAAATACATGTACACAAAGGACCAAGTGATAGAAAGAGAAAGCTGGACCTACACAGACATGGCAAGTAAAAGAAATATATTTTAAGAGGTGAGGAGGGGAGAAAGAGAGAGCAGAGAGGCAGAAAGAGGAGGGAAGGAGAGAGACAGAGAGAGGGACAGAGAGAGAGAGGTGGTAAGTTCTAAGTGAGTGTGTGAGCTCCTACTCACTCTTTCTGATTTTCACAGGAGAATCCCTTCAAGGAGAGAATTGTGGCATCTTTCTCTGAGGATGGTGAGGGGAATCTCACCTTCAATGACTTTGTGGACATGTTCTCAGTCCTCTGTGAGTCGGCGCCCAGGGAACTCAAAGCGAGTTATGCCTTTAAGATCTACGGTAAGTAGTGCCCAGCTCGTCATCACCGACATCCAAGGCAGTCTAGAATCCAGTGTGGTGAGGGAGCAGGTCCTCACTTGGGGCCTTGCCTTGGAGTTTCCTATGCTTAAGCGTTCTAGGTTAGGAAGGAGATATCCAAAGACTATCAGAGAAGAGGGAAACAATGATTCTAGATCTGAGGTAGGAACAGTGGTTGAAAGTTACAGATTTCAGCTTAACGTCAAGAGAAACTTCCTGCTAATGAGAGCTAAAGTGGAATGGGCAGCCTTAGAACATCCTCGGTTGGACCCTGAAAGATCTCTTGTTAGGGGTGCTGGAAACAAGGATTTCTTCTGATGGGACTAGATGACATTTAAAGTCCCTTCAGCCACTGAGGTTCTTGTGATGGAAGCTTCATTTTCAGTTAATCAATTAAATAGAACCAATCATCAAATCCTCAAGCATTTATTAAACACCTCCAGTATGCTTGGCACCATATACAGTGCTGAAGCTACAAAGACAAAATCCCAAGAGTCTATCTCCTCAAAAAACAAAGACAAAGTGATGGGGGGGGGGGTGATCTTGTCCTCTGCCATAACCAAGATGCAATATTTTTGTAGTTCCGTGACCCAACCCAGTCCCATCAGCCTGCCTGTATTGAAGGCTCTGGGAGCTGCATGCATTGTTCCACTTGCCCACTAGAGGGCGACGTGTATACCAAATGCTTACAATGATGGAGAAATCACTTGGGAGAGTAACAGACTGTCAGAAGTGGGAGGGACCTTAGAACATGGAATGTCAGGACTGGGAAGGACCTTACAACATGGAATATCAGAAGTGGGAGGGATCTGAGAACATGGAATATCAGAAGTGAGAGGGCCAAGGTGGGAGGGGAAAGGTAGGTAGTGTAAGTATTCTTATACTCATCTTAAAGATGAGGAAACAAGGCTTAGGGGCTAAGTGACTTGCCCATAGTTGCCCAGCTAGCAAAAAAGAGTGAAGACTAGAAGCCAGGTCTCCTGCCTCTAAATCTGGGACTCTTTATATAGCTGCAATTCAGTGACATCATCCCAGAATCATTTCCAAGGCCAGAGGTCAGCATAAAGCTTTCTGCAATGGATTGTCCAGTGAGCTGGACTTCTAGATTCATAGACTGTTAGAGCTAGAAGGGACCAAGTGCCATCTTCCTACTTACCACCCCTCTTCCCTACATTATTACAGAAAAAGAAACTGAGGCCTGGAGAGGCAAAATTATTTATCCAAGGTTATATCCAGGAAGTAAACCAGAAGTAGAGCATATACAGGTCTTTTGGAATGCAGGCCAATGTTTTTTTTCAAACATCCCAGGGTATATTTTCTTAGATAGTAGAACCTGTTTCTAATCTTTCTTCGGGACCTAGAGTGCTTAAAGATTACACTAAGGCCATTACAAAAGTGATGATGCTTCAGGAATCCAAGGATCAAAACTTTCAGAATCACAATGAAAGGCCTCAGAGACTTCCATTTTGATGATGATGATGATGGTGATGATGAGACTGGTCTTCTCTGTCCTTCCCTGAGTAGACTTCAACAATGACAACTTCATCTGCAAGAAGGACCTGGAGCTGACCCTGGCCCGGCTGACCAAGTCGGAACTGGAGGAGGAAGAGGTGATACTTGTGTGTGATAAGGTCATTGAGGAGGCTGATCTGGATGGAGATGGAAAACTCAGCTATGCTGACTTTGAAGACATGATTGCTAAGTCCCCTGACTTCCTGAGGTATGGACAGCCTTTGGGATTCAAACTCAGGTCTCTCCTGACTCCGAGCGCTCTTTCCACGATGCCTCTCTGCCTTTTGGCCTCTGGAGACTCAGATTTTTCTCTTTCTTAGCCTCAGTCTTGCTGCTCAAATAGACCTAAGCTTGGAGCTGAACCGTCTCTCCCCTTTGGGAAGCTGGCTTGAAGTCCAGTGTCCAATGTTCACTGAGCCACTCAGAGCTCGAGGGTTGAAATAAATGATCTTCTTACTAAAAACATTTTCCAATGCCCCCAGGTAGATGCAGTTCCTTAGGAAGTTAAAAGCCAGCAGGAAGGAGGTTCTCTGGAATCTCAGGAGCTTCCTGCAAAAGCACTGAGAACCACACTTTCATATTCGTCTTGCCAAAGGGCCCATCACTTAGGACCAGGTCAATCCACCTGGATTGAGACAGATGATATTAACTAAGGACTTAGCCCGTTAGATGATACTTGCAAAGTGTGTAGCACAATGCCTGGCACAATATAGGGGCTTAATACATGTTTGTTTCATCCATCCATTCCAGAGCGAAATGTTTTCAGTAGCTTTAGCCAGGGAACTCAAGCAGGATGAGCTCTAGTGGACAACAGATGTGAAAAACCAATTCCAGAAGAGGCCTGCCCACCCCTCCCTCCTTGGTCCAGTCTCCTTCTCTGGGTACCTACAAGTCTGTAGCTGGTGGTTTCCCTTCTGATAGGCAATGCTGTGGCTTCCTCTAATACCTGTGGTCTGGCTGCTGAGGAGATCTGAGTTCCATTCCTTGTTCTAATAATCACATCTGTTTAACACTTTATAGAGTTCTTTACAGGAGTTGGCCCATCTGATCCCCTTCGCAATCCTATGAGGTTAGTGTGACTGCTATCCCCATTTCACCGAGGTGCAAGTAGAGGCTTAGAGGGTTTGGTTAAGTAGCCTTTAAAGAGAGGACCAAAAGTAACTCAGTGAGTCAGCTTTAGAGTTGGGCTCAAACTCAGGGCTCCCGACTCCCAAGTCTTCCTTACTGTATGTACTTCAACTACCTCACCACTGATGCCCAGTGTGACCTCTGTAAAATGTGGAAGTCAAGACTAGAAGATGGCTTAGGACCCTTCTAGTTCTCCCATGCTATGATTCTATAATTAAGCTAACATTTTCTTTTTTTGTTTTGTTTTTTGATTTTTGCTAGGCAATGGGTTTAAGTGACTTGCCCAGGGTCACACAGTCAATAAGTGTCAAGTGTCTAAGGCCAGATTTGAACTTAGGTCCTCCTGACTCCAGGGCCGGGGCTCTATCCACTGTGCCACCTAGCTGCCCCTAAGCTAACATTTTCTTACCCTCTGATTATGGACATTTACCTCAAAGGGTCCTCTCAGCCTCCCCCACCCTCTTCCTGGTCCTACTTCTTCCCTCTGACATCTCTCTGTTTCTCCCCAGCACTTTTCACATTCGGATCTGAAGCTACCCAGCAGACCCCCAGAGATGACATCAGCTCAGCCCAGGCACCTCCAAGAAGCCCCTAGGACCCTCCTTTTGGAGAGAAGGGTTTTTCCAGCCTTGTGTCATCAGCAGATGTGGCTTCCTGATTTTATACATGTGAAAATATATTATGGCCCTATCAGCAAAAAACAAAAACAAAAAACACAAACCCAACACCAGAAAAGTAACAATAACCACCTCGCCTCCAAGGAGGTTCTCGTCTGTCTCCCACGTGCTCCCAAGATCTCTTGCTCTCACAGCTCTCTCCCCCATACAGAAGATACTCTCAGCCAGCCAGAGTGCTGGGACTGGTAATGATCTCTAGCCAGTTTGCATGGCATCGAATCTGTCCATCTGCCTGTCTGGAGGGGTCACAGGCAGGGGACCATATTTTGATTCCTGGCCTAAGGTTTGCCAATCCATTGGCTCCACAGTGGAGGCCAAGCTGGGTCTAACTCTGTCCTGCCTTGGGAAATGAGGCTTCAGACATGATGACAGCTGTACCTTTTCCTTCCCAAACATCCTTAAAGAACCAAGAAGAGGAAAAGGGGAAAAACATCCTTAAAAAAGAGAGCTTCACTCAATTGAAAGCTGGCAAGATTTGTGAGAAGCATGGGAGGCATCACAAAAGGAAAAAAAAAAGGGATGAGGTTTTGAATCAGCTATGCAATCTTTCTCATTGAATGCCTGTATTCAGCTCTGCCTTTCTCCCTTTTCCACTCCATCTCCGGGCCTGGCCTGGGACCCACTGCCGCTTGCCTCTGGCAGTCAAAGGAAGGGCTCTGTCACTCTTAACTGCATCCCTCTTTTCCCCATTAAATATTCTGACTGATCTGACCGTGGCTAAATAGTATATAGACTTTGCCTCCATCATTCATTCATTCATTCAGGCAATTAACAAGTACCTACTAAGTGCCTACATTGGGCTAGGTACTGGGTGAGGATAAAAAGAAAAATAGGAGTTTCCAGTCTATTTGGGAAGACAGCCTGTGTGTATATAAATACATAAAAATAAATATTGAAATAACTTGTGGAGAAGGCCCTTAGCATTTAGGGGAATTCAAAAACAAAAGGTTGTGTTTGAGCTGAGCTTTGAAGAAATCTGGAGATTCTAAGAGGCAGGGAGTATGTTCCAGGCTTGTACAAAGGCCAAGTGATGGGAGATGAAGTATCATGGATAAAGAGCCAGTTTGGCCAGGCTGTAGATTTCATGAAGGGGGGTGGTGATAAGACAGGAAAAATAGGGTGAAGTTAGTGTGCCAAAAAAAAAGTTGATAATTTATCCTGGAAGCAATAGGTAGCCATTTGGGGTTTGCTGAATGGAGGAGTGGTGTGTTCTGACCTGAACATTAAGACAATTGTGTTGGCAGCTATGTGCATGATGGATTGCAGTGGGGAAAGACTTAACTCAAGGGCACCAATTTGGAAGCTATGGTAATAATCAAGAAGTGATAAGAACTTGAATTAAGTTGGTGGCTATTTGAAGGAGAGAAAGGGATGGATGGGAGGATATGGAGGGAGAATTGGCCAGACTTGGCAACTGATTGGATGGGAAGGTGAGGGAGAGAGGAATTGTGGATGAATCTGGGAGGCTGGAAGGATGGTAGTAGTGAGAAAGATGATTTCCATTTTGTATTTGTTGAGTTTAAAATGCCTACACAGCATCCTCTTGGAAATGTCCAATAAGCAGTTGGTTATTTGACAAACATTATGTATCTACTGTGTACCTAGTTGCTGAGCCCATGGGGACATGAAAAGTGTAGGAAGCTATTTCTTGCATAGTATTATTTGAGAAAGTCCACCATCAAAGCTTCATTCCTTTGGCTTAAGTATCACCCTCTCCATATTCTTCCTTAAAAATGCAAACTCCATCCCCCCTCTCCCCAGGAGTGGAAATTTACTTGGTCCCCTGAACCAGATGTATATGGAACTTCTTACCTAGATTGTAAGCACCTTGGTGGCAGGAACCATGTCAGTCGATCAATCATAAACATTTATTAGGTGTCTGCTATGTGGCAGGCACTGTGCTAAGAGCTGGAGATGCAAAAAATGGCAAAAGACAGTCCCTGTCCTCAAAGAGCTTACAATCTAAAGGAGCAGATGGCATGCAAATAAAGATATATAATGCAAGCTTTATACAGGATAAATCAGAAATAATTTATAGAGGGAAAGCCCTAGAATTAAGAGGGATTGAGGAAGGCTTTCTGTAGAAGGTATGATTTTATTTGGGACTTAAAGGAAGCCAGGGGGGTCATGTTTTGATATCTTTGTCCCTATTTCTCTCTTCCCCCTCAAGTATCTAACAATGGTTGCTCTGGAGGCACTTGGGAAATTTTTGATGATGAATCAATAGAGATTTACTGAACATTGGCTCTTCCCTCAAGTAAAGGCTAAGTCAATTGGAAGGCCATTCAGTGACACTCTGCCCCCTGTCATTGCTACCATTTCTCTGTAATGGATATGATATGATTCCCTGGCTCAGGTGGCAGGGGTTGGAGATATCTAAGGAGGAGGAGTAGAGATGAGTGAATCTGACCAAGAGGGCTTTAAATGAAAGTAAAAGAATAAATGACCCACCTTGGGTGTTTAGCCAAGAGAAGAAATGACTGGGGGTGGTAGAGGTGGGGGACAGGATCATGCCTGCTTTAATTATCCATTCTTCCCATATTTCTATAAATGAAGGCTCACTCTAGGAGCAAACCAAATCCCCTGAGGATCTCTACCCAGTTCTCTATAGATTGCCCAGGGAACAACACCAATATACCTCCACAAACACAGACTCTCTCAGATTCAGGGTATTGTCCCTCTCCAGTCACAGCCATCAACTACTTAGAATGCATGCTACTGTGAGGGGGACGGGCATGGTCCTTTGTGTTTGCACCATTTTGCCTCTATGCCCCTTCATATTTCTGCAGAAAGGAGGTAAAGGTTTTCAATGTCTGTTCTCTAGGGCCTTGATTGGACATTATTGTACTTAATTTAAGGGAAGAAGAGATCCCTGTGAGCTGAAGTCATCAAGGGGGGTTTCATAGAGGACTTTGGACTTGGACTGAGCTTTGATGATCAAGGCCATCCCCTTCTTATCATAGAGTGAGGAGTGGGAGAGCTATGGAGCAGCCATTAACCACATGATTGACGAGGTTCAGTTCAATACCACAAACATTTATTAAGCAACTGCCATGTGCCAGGTGCTGTCCTAGGTGCTGAAGACACCAAGACAAAGATGAAACAACCCTGGCCTTTGAGGCGCTTCTATTCTATCACCTAGTGGTTTCCAAGACCCGAAGTTCACTAGAGTCCAGCTGTCTGAGGCTCCCTGGTCTGCACTAAGCCCTGGGGCCCAAAGCTCTCAGTCTGAAATGCTTCAGGGGCTCCTAAGAGCACTCTTCAGATAGCCCACATGGAGTGACACTGAAGGGGTATTTTATTTAGAAGGGAAAGCTGTCTTCCATCAGTGTCCAGAGCAGAAGGTTCTCTGTAATTGTAGGCTGCTGAAACTGTGATGGGAACTTACAATCCTATAGCACATAAAATTTACAAAGTACTTTTCTCCTATCAACCCTATTGGAGGGTAGGGGACAGGGATAGAGTGTTGACTAACTTACTTGCCCAAAGCCACACAGGCTAATAGATGTCAGAGCTGGGGCACCAAATCAGACTCACTGATTGCAAATGTAGGGATTCCTAAAGAGAATGTCTTAGCAAATCTCATTTTGCCAACATCTGCCTCACGAATTTCTAGCAGTGGACAAATTTTAAATGGGACAGCTTTCTTTTGGGTGCCCCCAGCATATATCTTCCTCTTCAACCCCCACATAATGAATGTGTGCTTTGAGGATTCAAATTCATATTAGTAAAGCCCTTAGCCTGGGATCATTTCCTGATCATGTGCCATTTTGCATTTTCTATATGACATTCTTCAATTCAATAGAGAACTGAACTGTTACACTGTCAGAATTGAAATTGGAATTGAAACAGTCTTCCTGCTTCTTTCTGGAGAGGTGGTGGGCTGTGGGTGCCCGATGAAGCATATATTGTTAGAAACGTATTAACTTGTTTTGCTTAAGCGTAGATTTTGTTAAGAAGGGAGCATTCTGTTGAGGAGAGAGTAGGCATTGAAAAGTGACAGCAGTGTATGCATTTATGTCTTTTGAAGAATGTTGGTAGAACATTTCTTTAAAATTGGGCAAACTTTTTTTTACTATCTCTTTGCTATCAAGTGGGATAATATTTGTAAAGCACTTAGCACAGTGCCAGGCACGTAGTAAATACTTAAAAATGCTTATTCTCTGCCTTCCTTCTTCTCTTACTGGCCTGCCACACAGTAGGGCTGCTAGTGAGAGAGGAATAGGGAAGAAATGAGTGAAGGCATGAAGTGGAGGAATCACTGGCCTAGGAGGCAAGAGGCAGGCATTCCGAGCTCTGCCACAGCTTTGCTGTGTGACCCTGAGCAAGCTATTTCCCTTCTCTGGGCCTGAGTTCCTTCATCTGTAATTGGGGTTAAGTGAGTTGGCCAGGGTCACACAGCTAGTAAGTGTCAAGTGTTTGGTCTGAGGTGAAATTTGAACTCAGGTCCTCCTGACTTCAGGGCCAGTGCTCTATCCACTGCTGCCCCATATATTCATTTCTTCTGCAAAGTCCAAGGCCTCAGGCTTTGTTCCCTCCCTCAAGTTTTATTTTTAGGCTCCTGGATTCAGTTTTGTGTCCAAGCTGAGTCGGTGGAGTCTGGGAAAGCAGAGCTTTCCAGTTGGCTGGACTTCGGAGTGTGGATCTGGGCCCTCTGGGCAGCTGTTGGCTGCCTGGGGAGCCTTCCTCAAACCCCAGGCTTCTCTCTTCTGGCCTCTTTGCTGCTGAAATAGCCAGCGGGCGCTGGCGTCACTGTTTATTCTTCCAGTCTGTGAAGAAGAACCTTCGGTGTTTTTCATCCTAGAAGGTGGAGAAGAGGAAAAATGGAACGAGCCTGGGGTGGGGAGAAGAGAGGAGGGGATCGGGGCATCGATAATCACAACTGCTATGCCTCAAATAGAGACTCTTGAGAAATCAGAGCTAAAAGGGACCTTAAGTATCAGTGAATCAACAAGGATTTATCAAATGCTTACTATGTGCCAGGCACTCGTGATAGGACCACATCAGGTCAGATCCCCTCATGCCCCAAATGGGGAAACAAATCCAGAAAGGCCATAGGATCACGCAACAAGTCAGTGGTGGAGGGAAAATCTAGGCCTTAACACACTCTGTCCCCCATGCCTCCCTCTTTCCCTTGGCCTCCTGGCTTCTTTCCAGGCTCAGTTTGAATCCCACCATCTGTAAGAGGCCTTTCCCAGGCTCCCTCTCCCACCTCCCCCCCCCACTCCACTGCTCTGCCTTCTCTCTGATGTCTTCCATCTCCCCCACGTACATCTTCTATGTTAATGGTTATTTGCATGTTATCTCCCTCACATTAGACTGTGAGCTCCTTGAGAGCAGAGTCTGTGTCTTTGCTTTTCCTTGTATCATCAGCACTTAGCCTAGTGCCTGGCACGTAGTAGGTGCTTAATAAGTGTTTGATGACTGACTGCCCAACTTGAGATGCTCACGTTAGGAACTGTCGAGTTTTAAGTGGCAGAAAGGGGACCAGATATTCTATGGTATCTCAGAGGGCAGAGCTAGGACTGATGTAAGAAATTTATAGGAAACCAGATTTCAGCTTAGCATAATGAAGGATTTTCTAATAATCAGAACTGTCCAACATTAGAATGGGTTGCCTCAGGAAAAAGCAAGCTTTCTATTACTATAACTGTTCAAGCAGAGAAAAATGAGCCCCCATCAGAGAGGCTATCCCTAAGATTGCACGCTGGGTGAGAGATTAGGGTAGATATTGTTTAGGGTCCTTTCCTGACCCCAAAGATCAGTCATATAAACTACCAGGTGCACTAAGCAGGACAAAGACAAACATTTCCTCATTCACAGTTCTGCTAAGGGCCAGGACTGAGGCCAGTTTTCTTTGAGGGAATATGGTGGACAGCACAATGAATTTGGAATCAGAGGATTTGGGTTCAAGTTCTGTTTCTGATGCTTAGGATCATAGATTGAAAACTGGAAGGTACCTTAGAAATGATATAGTCCATCTTACAAAAATGAATGTTGAAAACTATCTTTACATGTAATTGGAAAAAAGTACTATTAGGTTAAAAAAAAAGAGAGATTATATAGTCCAACCTCAACCCCCATCCCAACCATGTGGCCTTGGAGAGGAGGTTAAATCCCTGAAACTCTCGTAGTCCTTGGCTCCCTCATCTGTAAAATGAAGGGGTTGGAATAAGGGTCCCCCCCACTTTTAGCTCTGATAAAGCTCTTCCCTCACAGTAGTGCAATGTTATTTTGCCCATTTAATAGATAAGGAAATGGAGGTTCTGGGAATGGAAATGACTAGGCCTGGATCAATGGGATAAGTGCCCAGGTCCCCTGGGCTGCACTGTACCTTGTGTGAGTGCAACTGTTTGGTCTCCTGGAACTTCAAGGTGGGCATCCGCTTGTAGGGGTTACTTGGTAAGGAAGGTGTGGGCACTGCCTGGCTTCCTGGGATCTTCTCATAAGCATTATCCATCCAGCCTCCACAGCCCTCCAGCTGATTATAGGTGGATTTGAGTGGGAGGAAGGCTGACTTGGGCAACCTAGCAGGGACAGGCTCATAGTCATGGCTTTCTGAGGCCTGGGCCTGATCTTCCAGAGAATAGGAGTTGTTTGCCTTTGGCATGAGTTCATGGGTGCCTGGAGGGCTGGGGTCCCTGGACTTATTGGGCCCCGAGCCTCTGAAGGGCTGAGGAACAGCGTGGATGGCGAGTCCCTGGCTGCTCCCTCTGGATTCAGGGGAGCACCAGGTCATGAGAGAAGCCTGATGGTATGGGGAGCTTGCCTTATCCCCAGGAGAAGTGGAGATGGGCACAGGGGAGCTGTGCTCCAACACAGGGCAATGGGGGACAGTGGCAGATTTCTTGGTGGGATCCCCGTTTACCCCCAGAAGCTTAGTGGCACTCAGAGAAGCGAGGAGGGGGGCATCCCTGGGCTTCAGAGCCAATTCTTCTGCACTTAGATTGCCGGGCCTTCTCTGGTGCTCTTGGCCAGGGGAAGGGCTCTGATGGGGAATGTCTGAGGCCTCCGGGCTCAGGCTCTGCTGGCTGTGATTCATCTTCTTCAGCTCTGCATATACGACGTTTCCCAAGTACCTGCTACTGAGGGACTCCGTCACAAGGGAGGAACTTCTCTCAGGCAGAGGAGGCACTTTTACTGGGAGCTGAGGGAGGGGAGAGGCAAGGGCAAAACACACTTAAAACCCACACATCAACTCATATTGAAAATCCCCTCGATCTCGGAGACATCTATTCAAACAGATAGAATGCAAGCTCCTGAAGAGCAGGGACTGTTCTACTTTTTATCTTTGTATGCCCAACACCTAACACCAGGCCTGGAGCATAGTAGGCACTTTAAGAAGCTTGACTGATTAACTCATTGGTTGATTGATAGAACACCAGGGGTGGGGAACCTGTGGCCTTCTAGGTCCTTAAGTGCCGTCTTTGGACTGAATCCTTTTAGGGTTTATTCTATAAAATTTAGGTCCAAGTAAAAGGCCATACTTAGGGACCTAGAAGGCCACAGTAACCTCTCGTAAGTTTCTTCCCCCTCCCCCACCTCAATTTCCGCATTTGTAAAATGAGGCAATTGGCCTAGATCAGGAGTTCTTAACCTTTTGTGGGTGCTGAACCGTTCTAGCAGTCTGGGTAGAGCCTGGAGAAAGGGCCCTTTCTCAGAATAATGTTTTCAAGTGAATAATATAAATTACAAAGGTAAGTGAAGATAAACGCCGTTTTTTTCCCATCTAAGTTCATGGATCCTCTGAAATCTCTCCTGGACCCCGTGTCTGTGGACAGTAAGTTAGGAATCTGAGACCTGGAGGTTTTCGAAGGTCCTGCCCAGCTTTAGAATTCTATGGTCCTGTGATCCTATGTTCAATGTCACGTTCCGGCTTTTCAGACTCTCCACTATCTGACTCTGTCCTACCTAAGTGTTCTTCTCCCCAGATCCTAACACTGGGCTTGGCACTCCATAGTAGGTACTCAATAACCACTCACTGATTGATTAATCATACTTCTGACAGCACAACTTCTAATCTTGGAAATGGATGTAAAGCCGGAAAAGACCTCATTTCTGTTGACAGAAAGGAGAGGAGGATGGTCCTTAGCCTGCCCAAGAGAGGAAAGCACTCCTGGGGCATGAATTTTATAGAAAGAGTATTGGGCTGAGAGATCAAGCAGGCTCCGCTGTGTGATTTTAAACAAATAGCTTAACCTCTCTGGGCCTCCATTTCCTCTTCAGATAATGAGAGGGTTGGGCTAGATAATCTTTCTAAATGATGGTTTCATTTGATTCTTCCACTCCCCTGTGGGACAGCAACATAGAATTTAGAGGCGGAAAGGAATTGTTGAGACCATCCAGGCTAACCTTCCCCCGTCATACAGAAGAGGAAATGCAGGCCCAGGGAGCTAATAAGTGGCAGAACCACAATTAAGAGCCTGGCCTCCTGACCCCCATTCTGGGGCTCTGCCCATCATGCCACACCGCCTCTCCTTGAGGGAATACGTACATCACTGTCCCCTTCTGAGAGCTTCCAAGGACATTCTTTCAGGGATTTTTTGGAGTGGACAAAGGAAGTCTTGGGCTTCAGAGCAGGGCTGTCTTTAGCAGATCTCAGCTGTTCTGAGTCCCCCAATTCTTGCTTCTCCTTGGAGGGGCTGGTTGCTTCAGGTGGGGGAGCCAGCAGAAAGTTCAGAGAGATGGCATCGTACAAGTTGTTCTCCTCGGCCTGGCAGGGGCGAGGACAACACTACTGAGCACCCCTCGATCCAGTCCAGAGTTGGGCTAGAGGGTCTGGGAAGAGTAGGAAGATCTTCCCGGGTGGAGGGGGAAGAGCGCTGGTCGTCAAAGGACCTTGGTTCTGTCACCTACCAGCTTTATGGCCACTGGCTGACACAGTGGAGAGTCCTGGAGTGATGTTTGGAATGTCTGAGTTCAAATCCTGCCTCAGATTAATACCAGCTGTATTAACTTCTCATCAGTTTCCTTATCTGTAAATTGGGAATCACAAGAGCATCCACTTCCCAGGGTTGTTGTGAGATGCAAAGAAGATGTAAAGTGCTTTGTAAACAATATAAAAGCTAGCTAGCTATTATTATCTTTTGTCTGAGTCAAGTCACTTAATTTCCCTGGGCCTCAGTTTTCACATCTGACAATGGGGACAACAGTACTCGGCCTTTTTTTAAACTTAATAGTACTGTTGTTAGACTAAGGTGAGATAAAAGAAGAAAAATTAATAATAATAATAATAATAATAATAATAATAATATCTTGGGGCAGCTAGGTGGTGCAGTGGATAGAGCACTGGCCCTGAAGTCAGGAGGACCTGAGTTCAAATCTGGCCTCAGACCAAACACTTGACACTTACTAGCTGTGTGACCGTGGGCAAGTCACTTAACCCCAGTCGCCTAACCAAAAAAAAAAAATATATATATATATATATACATATATATATACATATATATATATGTATATGTATATATACATATATATATATGTATATGTATATATATATACATATATATATGTATATGTATATATATATACATATATATATGTATATGTATATATATATATACATATACATATATATATGTATGTGAGGCAAAGGACTTTGCATGAATGATGTCAAAAATTAATAAACTCTTGTTTTTGAAATGCTACTCAATCCTCAAAACAGCTCCCTAAGATAGATAGAATTATTTTCCCCATTTAACAGATAAGGACATTGAGATTTAATGAAAGGTCAAGTGACTTGTGTGGGTTTCTGCAGCTCATCATTTGCAGAGTCAGAACTCAGATCTCACTTAATCTTCCCCTTCTACTACTTCCACCTCTCTGCTCCAGAGATTTTTGGTGTGTATAGACATACTGAGTGTGTATAGACATACATCTGCCTGTAAGACCTGAGGAGGGGGAGGGATCATTGGGGGAAGGGAACCTAGAGTATGGACCAGGCGGTGGTCTCCCCACCCTCTGACTCAGTCCTCCTGCAGGGGAAGGGGGAGTGTTTAGGAATTGCCCTGACCCTGGAACTCAAAGTCTCCCACCTTTGGGCTTCCGCCTCCTGTTTGATCTTCTTCCCCAATTCTCCCTTCCTGTACACCCTACATTCCAGCCAGACTGGTTTGTATTCCCATGCTTATGCCATGCTTTCCCCTTTCCACAACTTTGCTCATGCCATCTCCTCGTGTAGGGCTCCAGGATCCCCCATCTCTTGGAAGAGATGTCCCCACTTCTGCCCCAGATGAAATCCCTCCCTTCCTTCAAGGTCCAACTCAGATCTGCTCCCCAAGACCCACCCTTCCCTGTCCCCTACCCCAGCTACATTTCATCCCCCCTTCTGTGTTTATCTCATTCCTCCCAGTATTCCAGCGACTTAGATCCATGTCTTCTCTCCCTGATTATTCTCTAAGCTCCCTGAGGGCAGGGCCTATGCCTCAGCCACCCTCGTACCCTCACAGAATCCATCTCAGGACACTGCCCACCATGGATACTTAGTACACGTCTGATGAATTGGGTGTGAGACTCAGCATACCCGAGGGCAGGCGGTGGTGAGGCTCTCCCCAAAGGGCTCTATCGTTGCTCCCTGGTAGTAGGTGATGAGGGCAGTGAGTGTGGGGTGGTTGCAGATGTCACCAGAGATCACATACCTCCGGTTCTGAAGCTGACTGATCACAAAGTGGCGGCAACGGTCGTACCCCCTGAAAAGCGACAAGTCACAGAATCTCGGGGTCAGAGGATCTAGAGCCAGAGGAAACCTTAGAAATACTCCAGGCATTCATTTTATTCATCCCCTCATCGAGCATTGATTAAGTACCAAGGATGTGCTAGGCATTGTGCTATGAACTGGAAACACAAGAACAAAAAGGAAAGTCCCTGCCCTCCGGTTGCTTACGTTCTACTGGAGAAAGACAACCCAACTGGGGATAAGTAAATAACAGTTATGTACAAAACAAGTAGAAAAAAAATTGGGGGGGGCACTTGAACTGAGTCTGGAAGGAAGCCAGGGATTCTGGGCCAACACCTTGTGGTTCCAACCCATTTCACAGAAGAGGAAACAGATGCCTTGATTCTGGAGGCTCGTAGAATCTCTGCAGGTCAGCGTTAGGGGACCTGAAAAGCTTGCCCAGGAAGCCAGAGTTCCCCAGAGTCAAGGGGCTATTTCCTAGCGTTGCTGGGGGTCTTATCTATAGGAAAGGATGTAACCCATCGCCTTGTCGCTCAGCCTGATGAGAAAGCAGCCCACTGGTCTGTCGGTCAGCAGTTCTTCGGCTTGCCTGGGGGGAGGAAATGCCTTTGACCCTGAAGCTCTGACCACCGCCTCCTCACCTCCAACCTATTCAGGGACCGTTTTCTTTTGTTACTCAAGCCCTCCAGGATTTCAAAACATCCTTTCCTTGTGTTTGCTACTGAGCCGCTCACTCTGGTCGAATGATTGGTAACGTCCAGCTACCTTAAGAGAATTGCTAATGACTCTCAGCTTTCTCCAAGATACCCACCATGAATTATGTTGATGCAGATGTCCATGTCCCAAGGCCCCATTTCTGGCGCTCTGCTTTGAGCTCTTTCTCCAGCAATAGGGATGAGGGGGCCATATTTTCTCATACCATTCCTCATAGAATAAAATGACGTACTAGGGAGACATCGGGCTGAGGTTAGGACTTCACTGTGGCCAGAATTAGAGGGTAGATCTGTCGATGCAGTTTGGGGCCATGGGTGATGCCTGGGCTAATCTGTCTGCTTGGTATATGATCAGATGCCAAAGTCAGTTTGTAGCTGGGCTCTGGGGTGGCTGGAGCTGGAGATGGGGGTGGGGGGTGGGGAAGCCTGGAGACTTAGAACAGCCCGTGGTCTCAAAGTTAGTTTCATATTTGTTTGATTTTATAGTCCACATCTATTTGCTTCACTACCATCTCAGTTTTGTTTCTCTTCACAAAGATTTTAATAATTGATTTCATGAGCTGTACAAATGGACAAAGGAGGGCATAATATGACTGGGCAGGCGGGAGGCTATAAATAGATCCTGTAGGCAGAGATATGCTGGTAAGTGTTTAACAACTGGTTCTCCAGGGGAAACAAACGCTAGCAGGACACACTTTTAAGTTTAATTTGCACTGGTAATATTTTCTCCATCTTCTCTTTTTCTTTGCAAGGGAATTAGAGTTTAAGTGACTTGCCCAAGGTCTCTGAGGCTGGATTTGAACTCAGGTCCTTCTGACTCCAAGGCCAATGCTCTATCCACTGCGCCAGCTAGCTGCCCCTCCATCTTTTCTTAAGTCTTAAATCAAGCCCTGATTTGTTTCGTTTGCCAATTTCTAAGTTGGAAACAGTCACACTGAAAATTTAACAACTGGCTATAGGCCTGTGGGTTGGGGGTTTTAGATTGCTGTTCTAATACGACACTAACAAGTTACCAAGGCTCCAGTTAAAGGCTGAGCACGGAGATGTGGAATCGTTGCAATCGATGGGGTTTCTGTACCACACTCCTTCAAAGACCCCATACAATCTCTTCCCCCATCTTTGATGTCCCCATCTTTCCAGACCCGAGGCGTTTGCAGCTGTGTCTACATAATGCCGAATATTTGGATGAACAGTGAAATATTCTTGTCATCTTCCAGCTTTTGAAATTGTGTCAAATAGTGGGGTAGAGCGTCAGAGCATTGGGTTTGGTGCCAGAGACCTGGATTCCAATTCTGGTTCTGTCATTTACCTCTCTTGGGCAAGTCACTCGACCCCCTTAGGACTCAGTCTCTTCCTCTCTAAAATGGAGAGGAGGTTGCCCTAGCTGACCTCTGAGGTCCCTTCTGGCTTTAGATCTATGATACGATCGACAATATTAATTGATTCACTGATTCTTTTGTTTGTTCCTTCATCCATCCATCCACTCATTCCGTGCCTTTCTGTATTAGGTACTCTCTATAGGGCTTGGGATTCACTTCACCTGCATGGTTGGGATATTGTTGACCCATCGAAAGCCCAGAGAAATCAAGGAATCACAGCCAAGAACTGAAAGGCTCCCAGATTTGTGTTATGGAACCCTTCGGCACTCTGGCGAAACCTACAAAACATTTCCTAAAATACAGTTTTTTAAAAAAATTATCAAATAAAATACATAGGACAAAGGAAATCAATTACTTTGAAATATCTCTATTGATACATGGTTTTTTTTGTTTGGGGGGGTTTTTTTGGGCTAGGCAATGGAGTTAAGTGACTTACCCAGGGTCACATAGCTAGTAAGTGTTATGTGTCTGAGACCGGATTTGAACTCAGGTCCTCCTGAATCCAGGGCCAGTGCTCTACCCACTCTGCCACCTAGCTGCCCCAACACATGTTTTTAAAAGTTCATAGACCCCAGGTTAAGAACCTATTCTTTTTCTAGATCAACTTTCTAATTTTACAAATGAGGAAACTGAGCTCCAGAGATACTTAAGTTATTTGTCCCAGATCACACAGCTGTGGCCAAGCCAGGATTTGAACCCCAGTCCTTTGATCCCAAACCTAGCCCTCCCGCCTCTTTTGGGTAGGAACAGCAGCTCAGAGAGGGGCTTTGCCTTGTGGCAGCTGGCTTGTGTGAAAGTCCCTACCCACTCCTCAATTTTAGCAATCCTTTTCAAAAAAACCCCAACACTTTGACCTCCCCTCGGTTTGTCCGCAGGGTGATCAATAATATTAATGTCCTTTTCCCACCTTCCCCAAATCTCTGCTTGTTTTAAACAAAGCAAGGGGTAATGTGTGAGATCCAGAGGCCTTAAAAATCATCTACCCTGCCGCCATTTTATAGATGGAGAAACAGACCTGGAGAAGGGACTTCCCTAAGAGCACGTGAGTGAATAGCTGAGCTGGGATTCTAACCTAGAGCTTCTGCCAACAAATCCCTTGCTCTCCCTGTCACCTCTCCCAAACCACCTGCTCCATCTCTAACAATATAAACAATATATGATATATTGTGATAATAATACAATATAGTGTAATAACAATAATATATATATATATATATATATATATATAGTACGACATAAGCAATGTCGTACAATATAAATAAGGCAACAACACATTTATCTCATCAGATGACTCAAAAGCCACCCTGGTCACCAGCCTGCCACCCTCTGTGGTCCAGAGAGCGTGCAACCCCCCAAACAAGCCCATTTCCCATACTAGCCAGAAGAGTCAAGCTTACTTTCTTGTAATGAATCCATGGAACCACTCAGGTAAAGCGCCATCTTGTAATATGAGGGGTGCCTGTGTCTCCATAAACCATTTGATAGCAATGTCTTTGAGCATGTCCATGGCCGGGCTTTCTCTGTCCATCAGGATCACCCCTTTTTCTGGCTCTGAAGGCCTCGTCCTGTCCTCCATGCAGACGTCAGGTGTCCTGGAATATCTAAAGGGGGGATGGTCGATGAGAGAGAGTCCCCAATTCTATTTTTCAGTCCCAGTTACCAACCTCTCTATATCCTGGAGGAGAGCTCATTTGTTTAATCCTGACTTCCTTTCCAGCTAATTAGCAGAGAACAGAAGCCCTTATTGATAGCCAGACCATTGATGAGTTTCCACTCTGATGACAGGCAGAGGCTGGAAAAATCATGTCAGGTGCAGGAATTGGGTAATTTCAGAGAGATAGCCTCTTTTGTCACTTCTCATTGAGGCTAAATCTACAAGAGGAGATATTGTCTATTAGAACAGCAGAAGACCTAGGTTGGAGTCTCAGCTGATACTTCTTAGGTATGCCCCCCTGGTCAAGTCATTTTACTTCTTTAGGCCTCTGTCTCCTCATCTGTACAATGTGGACAATAACTCTTAATTTCAAAAAAGAAAATTTTATCTATGAGAAATTGTTATCTTTTGTTTTATACCACCTTCATCTGCATATATCTTCCCCCCTCCCAGAGGACCATTCCTTATAATCAAGAATATGAAAGAAAGAGGAAAAATAAGAACATTTTAGCAAAATTAAGTAATGCATCAATTAGGCCTGACAATTCTGCATCTCTCCAAGTCCCAAAAAGTAGGTCTAGGAGGTGTAAAGCCATAAAGCTAGATGGAAAGACAAAAAAAAAAAAGAAAGAAAAATCTAATTATAATCAGACAACGGGGCACCAGGTGTCTCCGTAGTGCACCAAGTGGATAGAGAGATGGCTTGGAGTCAGGAAGACTCCTCCTCCTGAGTTCAAATCCAACCACAGATAGTTAACTAGTTGTATGACCCTGGGCAAGTCACTTAACCCTGTTTGCCTTAGTTCCCTCATCAGTAAAATGAGTTGGAGAAAGAAACAATACAAAAAGAGGTCTTAGCCACTTGGGAGTCATGGCAAGATCAAAAATATGACCATAACCAGAAAATCAGCAAACTGTGCTGGTCCTCTATTCTTTGCTTTTGAAGACCTCTAATGAGATGGAACCCACCGCCTCTTCAGTCAACCCATCTCATTTATTTGCTGTTTTCCCCAATGGAATGTAAGCGCCTTGCCTCAATGGTCTGGTTATGGTAGCAAGCAGAACCAGGAGAACAATTAGTACAGTAATAACAACATTATTATTTGTTTTTTGGAGGGGGGAGGTAAGTGACTTGCCCAGGGTCACATAGCTAGTAAGTGTTTGATATCACTTTTGAACTCAGGCCCTCCTTACTCTAGGGCTGGTGCTTTATCCACTGTGACACCTAGCTGCCCTAACAGCATTATAAAGAGAAACAACTTTGAAACATTTAACAGCTCTGGTCAATGAAATGACTAACACAAATTCCAGAAGACTGATGATAAAGCATGTTATCACCCTCCTGATAGAGGGTGAACAGATTTGGTACAGAATGATACATACATAAAGGTATATAGTTATAATTTACATATTTTATATATATCACATTAGACTTGATCAGTGCAAGAATTTGTTTTGTTTAACTATGCATATTGTTCAAAGGTTTTGCTCAGATCCTCCTCCCCCCCATCCTGGGAGGATGTGAAGTGAGGGAAATGGATTTTTATTAATTAAAAAAATTAAAATTGCAAAATGTTCATTGATTGATTCACCTCATTGTAAGGAAATTTTTTTCCCTGACATCAATCATAAATTCGCCTCTCCTCTGTAACTTTCTTCCATTAGGGCCAGAACAGCCTGAAATTCACAGAATTGGGACTGGTTGGGGGACAGTCGCTACCGCTATCTTTTGGCCCTAATAATTCCAGAGTTTTCTCTGGTTGGAAAAACCGGTCTGGGAGTATTCAAATACAGCTCTGGGAAGGTTTGACTCTTTCCATGAAACTGGTCCTCTTCCCCTCCCTCTTAGGCAGGACACAAAGAGAGGTGACCATTTTTATGGACTTGGAATCTAACTTTTTTTGCATAAGGAAGTAAAGGGCTTTGTGTGCATGGAAAGTTCCCCTCCCCTGGAGGGGTGAAAGTCAGCCAGGGCTCCAAGGATTTAGAAACCATGCAAATGATGAAGATGCTGGCCCCAGCATCTGTGACCTTGGACCTGATGGAGGGCAAGGGGGTAGTAGAATTGTCAAGAAGGTGATGCTTTCTTCTGACTGTAGTCTTTCTGCTCCATCCATCAATGAACATTCATTTATTAAAGTCCGGCTCCATATTACTTGATGCAGAGCTTTGGTTTCCTCATTTGTAAAATGGGCATATTAATATCCGTACTAGCTACCTCCTAGGGTTGTTGGAAAGCAGACTTTGTGTTCATTGTAAAGCCTATTGATTTTTAGTGATCCTTCCCCACACCCATTCAATACTGAATGAATGAAAAAGTATTATTCCACACTTGGTTTGTATCAGTCACTGTGATCCAGGCACAGTGTTAGAGATACAAAGACAAAACAATTCCTGCCTTCAAAAAGTGCATAAACATATAAAAGAAAAACTAATATAATTTGAGGAGACAGCAAACACTAATAAGGTCAAGAGAGGTAAGGAAGAGGTGGAATTGGACCCTGAGCTGAGCCCAGAGGCCAACTCAAGCCCCTAAGAGGCAGAGAGGTTAGGAAGAGGGGGCATCCCAAGTGAACTGGACAGTCTGTGCATAAGCCCCTCAATAACACAACAAGGAGTCTTCCATTCTCCCCTTGAATACCTTGAAAAATGAGAAACTTACTTCTTCCCTTCCCTGGATTTCTTCCCTTCTCCTTCTCCCTCCCCTAAGTCCATTTCCACTCATTTTTGGATAGCTCTGAGGCTTAGGAAGGTCTTTAAAGACTAAGTGAGGGGCAGCGAGGTGGCACAGTGAATAGAGTTCTGGCCTTGGAGTCAGGAGGACCTGAGTTCAAATCCAGCCTCAGACACTTAACACTTACTAGCTGTGTGACCCTGGGCAAGTTACTTAACCCCTATCACCTCACCAAAAAGCAAAAAAAAAAAAAAAAAGACGACTAAGTGAGACATCAGGTGGCAAAAGAGGAAAGGAAGAAGGAAATTTCAGACATAAAGAAAGGCTCCAGCAAAGGTCAGGGAGCTGGAGAGCCCTAGGTGGGAATAGGAGCCAGAAGCATAGAGTCTAAAGCTTGGAGTCGAGAAGACCAGGGGTTCAAATCTACTTCTGATATTTACCAGCTATGGGATCTTGTGCAAATCTGTTCATTTCCTCACCTGTGAAAGGAGAGGTCAGCTCTGAACCTAGCATCCCATGAAGAGTCTGATTTGGCCGGGGTTGAGAGTACAGAGGAAAGAAGTGAGATAAGGCTGGAAAGCAGGGTGGAACTAGGCTGCTGAAGGCCTTTACTGCCAATCTAAAGAGGCTGAATTTGGTTCCATAGCTAGGTGGAAGCCAGTGAACAGTTTTGAGTGAAGGAGTGGAATAGCCAGATCTAGGGATGAGGGAATTTAGTCTGGAAGTAGCCTGCAGGATATATTGCGGGTGTTTGTGAAGTATGGGGCCATGGATTTGATAATGGAAAGGACCTTAGGCCAACTCTTCATTTTGCAGACAAGGAAACTGAGGTGCAGAGAGCCTTGCTCAAAGTCACACGGGAAAGTAGTTGGGTGGGATTTAAACCCTTATCGTGTAACTCCAAACCCATTCATCTTTTTCCAGGAACATACAATAGGCAGCTCACTTTCTTCTCTCTTTGTTCCTTTCCAGGAAGACTCTTTTTTTCTCTTTCCTTTTGTGTGATGGATTTGAGGGAATTGGAGCAGCAAGTGGTGGTGGGAATTACACAAACCACATTGACTCCATCTTGTGACTCAATTCTGGAGCTAGCCCTTTCTATTCGATTATGGGTCTAGTCCAATTTGTCTTGTGAGAAAATTTGTGGGAATTGGGAGAAAACTTTATTATATTGTTGGAACCTAGCCCTGTGGCTAGATGGCTGGGAAGCTGCACCATCTCTGCCTGCTGCTTAGAGACCCTTAACTAAGGACCTAGGTTATGCTGACCAGAAACCTGGTCAGGTCTGAAAAATGATGCAAGTTTTCTCATAATTATACATCTCAAGCAACCCGTTATCTTATCTGAAAACTGCCCCCCCCCCGCTCAATTTGTTATTCTTCCTATGTTCCTTTGATTATTCACGGACACTTGGGGAAGTAAGACAGCTCTTTTTCTGATCTCTGGGAATTGTACCGGATCACTCTACCCATCTGTACTTGGAAACTCCCTAATCTTCCCTCCAATTAGAATTCAGATTACCTACTGTTGTATTCTAGTTAATTGTTTCCTTTTAATTAATTGGCCTCATTTGATTAATTGTTTTTAACTATAAAAGTCTGTCTCCCCCTGTATTTGGGGTCCAGTGCCAAAGACGAAGAGGAGGCCTGGTCCCAATTTGTTGGGCGATTGGCATGCATTGCTTAATCAACCAAGATGCTTAGAAGCTCAAATTTTTCTTTCCTCAGTCATTTCATCTTGCATGTAGGGCAGTAAAAAGAACACTAGGCTTAGAACTGGGAGGTCCAGAGCAATCCTGGCTCTGCTACTAACTTGCTGCATAACTCTGGGGTAAGTCCTTTCCCCTTTCTTGTCCTCACTTTCCTCAGTTTTGAAGGTATCTGGACTTCATTAAGATATAACAGACTTCACGATTGTAGAATTCAGAGCTGAAGAGCCTGTAGAGATCTAGACCAGGCCTCCAAGGACTACAGTAGAGACCTATTGACTCCCAGACAGGCAACCTTTCCCCCTATATCATATGGCCTTTAACACCTCTCTAACACCTCTCTTTACCCATCAATCCTATACTGGACCCAGGTCTTCAGCCTGGGACTTCTGTGTCCTTGAAATGTTTTCCTTGTGAATAGAATGGGGGGGGGGAGGCATTCCATTATTTGCTTTCCAATTTGATAGGAAAATATCTTCTGCCCCGGTGGAAAATAGTGTCACACAATGACTAGGACAAAAGATGGTTCACTTGAAGACTTCAGAGAGGGCGGGTTCAGGTTGCCTTTATCAGATATTGAATGAGAAAGCAGGACAGCCCATATGGCGTTGCCTGATTCAAGTCAAATTAGATCACAAGGCTTTGGAGTTGGGAAAACGTAATCTAATTCAACCTCCTCATTTTTTTTTTTGAGGCACTTGCGATTAAGTGATTGTCCAGGGTCACACAGCTAGTATGTATCTGAGGCCACATTGAACACAAGTCTTCCTGTCCCTAGGGCCAGTGCTCTATCCGTTGCACCACCTGGCTTCCACTGTCCTTTTTTTACAGAAGAAAACCATATGATCACCAGTTTAAAGCTGCAAGGATCCTTGTAGGCTGTATATTGACTTAGAAAACCACATGTGAACATCAGCTATGTTCTATTGTATTTTTATTTATTTTGTTAAAAATTTCCCAGTTACATTTTAATCTGGTTCTGCTGCACTTAGGAGTGGCCTAGGGTTTAGGGGTGGGGGGAGAGTGGTATTGGACACCTCTCGTCTAGATGACCACTAAGCTTCCTTCTGGGTCTGAGGGTCTATGAGCCTCTGACGTTTCCATATGTTAGCAGGTCCCTCACTGGGAATCTGGTCTCCTCTTTTTCTTCTGGGTCTAAGGTCACGTGGACCAGGACAAAGTGGGGCTAGGCCTAGCCTCTCACTTTAGCAATGGAGCCAAGGCTTCTGCCTGGTCTCTGTCCCCAGTTCACCACTTTCAGCACAGCTGGGTTCAGCACCCAGTGACCCTTCAGACCCTGAGCCCAACACAGGACGGTGAGAGCCTACCTTGCCTGCTCTTGCTGCTGCAGCTGCACGCCTCAATGACTCACAATGTCTCAGAGCTAGAGCAGGCCTCAGAGGCTATCTTGTCCAACCTCTACCTCTCCATAGCATCCTTTGCTCCATTTCCTTTTGAAACACTCTGACGATGGGGGACTCACTACTTTCTGAGGCAGTTTGGAATAATTAGAATTATTAGGGAGTATTTTCCTTACCTCCAGCAGAAAATTGCCCCTCTGCTACTCCCTCCCCCACCTCAGTTCTACCCTTTGGGGCCAACCAGCTCCCTTTCTCCTTAATGGGCTTTTGGGTACTTGAATCCAGGACCACAAGGTTTCTCTCTTCTAGGCTCCTCTCCTCTGTCCCTTCACCCAACCTCATGTGGCCCAGCCCCGTCATCACCTTATTTACCATCAGTGTCCTTCCCAAAGTATGGCCCCAGAACTGTGCATGCATGGTGCTCCAGATGGGATCTGCCCAGGGCAGACAGTGATGGGATTCCTCACAGCCTTTAGAGCTGGAACAGGCATTAGAGACCATTAAGTCTGATTCCTTTTTTCTTTTCCAAAAGAGGAAACCAAAGCTCAGAGTGGCATGCAGCTCAGATGATTAAGAAGGGGAGCTGAGGTGGTCCCTCCTTTTGGTTCTAATTCTTCCTTACAACATCACTAATGTGAAAATATGTTTAATAGGAATGTATATGTAGAGCCTAGATCAGATTACATGCTGTATTGGGGAGGGAGTTGGGAAGGGAGAGGGAGAAAAATTTAAAAAAAAACCTCAAAAGTTTATGGAAGTGATTGCTGATAAATCAAAATAAATTAATTTTTAAAAATACAAAAAATACCAAAAAAGAGAGAGGGAAGAGAGCTGAGACACCAACCCAAGTCCATTGAGTCCTAGACTTTTTGCCACCTCTCCATACCTTTGAAGGAAACTTTCTAAGTCTGGCAAAAAAAAAAGAGGTCTTAGTTTGGTCCTTCTGCTCCATTATGAGGGGCATAGGGTGTTCAGGGAGGACTAGCACCTCTGGGGGGAGGGCTGCTCATCCACCTTTGGTGTCTACCATTCATCCAACTCTCACCTGTAGCTCCAAGAAGCTGTGGCACGCACAGCGGCGGCACCCCAGTGAACCATCTTGGTAGGACGGGCTAACCTGGGTTAACAGTAACCAACAGGCCTCTAACTCCTCGGTGGGTTAGGGGATGTCTACTCCAAGCATGTGAGGACTTCCCCTGGAGGAATGGGTGGATGAGACCAATTTGTTCCAATGGCCACGAAGGCAGTTGAATCGGATGCTATGGCCCGCTTAGAGCTGGGTCAGGAACACTCCGAGGTCATCCACTGCATCCTGGGCTATCGCCAGTCATCCGCGCTTTTGTCTTACCACTGGACTTCCGTGGCTCTGGAAGAGAGAGTGAAGCCCATGACTTTGTGCACCTCTGCCTCCCCTAAATTCCGTTTACAAATGAGTCGAGATATCATTCCATGATCTCATTGGTCCTCTTTGAAAAGAAAGGACAAACAACAATGAGAAGTATCACTGGGGAGTACATAAGGCACTGAATTAAAACCCTGTCTCAGGCACTTTCTGGCTGTGTGACCTTGACGAAGTCACTACATTTCCCTGAGTTTTAATTTTCTCCATAAAAAGGGAAGTTGGGCTTATGATGCCCCTTCCAGCTTTCTACCTATGATCCTATGATTTCAGAGGGATCTTCCAGTGGCCAACCTCTGCTTCTTAAGGTTAATTTCAGGCATAAATCTGGACTCCTTGGCTCTCTTCCCAGGTCCTTATAGGATGGCACTCATTCCCCATAATAGCGGTGGCGCCTTCTCCTTGAGTTGAGGTAAGGGTGGAAAAAATAGGGACACACAAATTATAATCTGGCAGAAAGCAAAAGTAGGTTGTGTATCTGGAGGCTTTCTCTAATCCCATTTGCAATTTTCCCTTTGTTTTGGAAAACCCAGAACAAAAGCCCCTTTTCCTGGGTTAGCAGAAATCATTAAAAACAGTGTGAGAGTGCCACCTGGTGAGCAACACCATGCATGACAGGGGAGTTCTCCCACCCTGGGCTTGTAGAATTGGAAGGTACATGAGATGTCTCTTAAAGCTACCCCCTCCAAGTATAACTGAGGCTATTTAGGCACCTAGTGGGAGAAGTCTCCTGAGCTGTGCTTCAAAGCAAACTCGTGATTCTGTGAGGCAGAGAAGAGGAGAGGGCTTTAAATTTCTAATGGGGATACAGCTTGGGCAAAGGTCAGAGGTGGGAAATGAGGAACATATAACAAGATAATCAGAGTGGGACAAAGTGGAATTGTTAGGAAATTTGTGGAGGGAATGATATGAGATAAGACTGGGAAGGCAAGTGGAAACCAGACTGTAGAGACTTTTAAATGCCAGGCTGAGGACTTTGTATTTGATTCTAGAGACAATACAGAACTACTGAAAATATTTGAGCCAGGCAGTGATGTGTCGCATCCCCAATAGTATAACCCCCCAACTTGCACTTGTATTAGTGAATCAGGCCCCCTCAGGGGACTCCCAGATTCTAAGGTATTGGCTATGGGTAGTGGCTCCTAAAATTACATATTTCATGAGTCCCCAGTGGTGCGTGTTCCATTAATATTCAGCCAGTAGAAACAATTAACTCTTAGCAAAGGCATTTACTAAAACAGTATAGTAAAAACAGTAGCCACAAAACATCTCCCCCATAAATATGGGGCACATTTGTTTACAAATACCAATAGAATCCATGGGAAGAGTGAACAGAAACTTACAGAATAATGGTAATGAGGCAGATTTGTAGGGAATACATTGTCAAGGCAGCTCACAACTCTGGTACCATAGGACATCATGGTCGTCTCTCTCCACATGGAGTCCTCGTGAAGCTTTACACTCAACTGGGTAGATCTGCTGGTCTTCCACAGTCTGCTACTCTATTCAGTGTAATTTTCCGATTGCCCAGGCTAGCTTTCTTTTGAGTTCACAGCTGGCTTCCTTCTCTGATACAAGAGGTCAGGCTCCTGAAAGTGACTTCCTCCCTCAAATGACTGTCTCTCTGTATTTGTGTCTGTCTAAGGTCTATGTCTTTGCTCCCGAAACTTTGCTTTGGACTCTCAAAGTTTTGCTCCAAAGTAATAGGTCCAATAGTGGGGAGAGGGAAGGAGGAGAGAATTTCTCTTCCATAAGATGCACCTGACCCACACCCTCTCAAACTATTGAACATATCTAAGATTTAACTATTTAAAGCCCTGAAAAATTATGTCCATTTTTTTGTTCATTCCATGAAGTTGTTCCTCTTAATTCCAACAGAAAAATGTTTGGATTTCATAAAGGGACTTCAGTTGTTTTTCAGTTGTGTCATACTCTTCATGACCCCATCATGGTAAAGATACTAGAGAGGTCCATTTCCTTCTCCAGCTCATTTTACAGATAAGGAAACTGAAGAAAAACAGGATTAAGGGATTTACTCAGGGTCAGACAGCTACTAAGTGTCTGAGGCCAAGTTTGAACTCACAAAGATGAGTCTTCCTGACTCCAAGCCAGGCTGTACCACTTGCATAAAGAGATTACTGGTGTTAATACAGTAAAACCTGATGGCCTCGGTTCTGTTATCTGTCCTTTGTTTTCTATGACTGACCTGGGAACCAAATCCCCTTTCCCTTACACTCAGATCTGAGGGTTAGTGATTTTAATTTGGTAGCTGGGTGTAGAGTGGGTTAGACAAAGGAGACACTGGAGGTAGGGAGACCAATAAGGAGGCTAATGTGATAGCCCAAGTGATAGGTGATGAGAGTCTGTGCCCATATGAGTGGAAAAAAAGGGACAGATGTGAGAACAGTGTTATGGAGATAGGTTCAACAAGACTTGGTAACTAATTGGATATGGGTATTGAATGAGAGGACAGAGTCTGGGATAATTCCAAGATGGTGAACATGGGTAACTGGAAAAATGGTGGTGCCATCAGCAGAAGTGCAGGCATTTGATGGAAGGAGGAACTGGCCAGAGTTCCATTTTGGACGTGATGAATTTGAGATGACAGACAGGTGGAGCTTTCCAGAAGGCAGCTGGTTGATCAGAACTGTAGATTCAGAGACAGATAAAGGCTGGATAGATAGATTGGGAGTCATCTCAATAGAAATGACAGGCTACAGAATTCCTAGGTGTAGCCCCGGGGAAAGGAAAATGAAAAGGTTCTGAGCTTGAGTGATAATGGGGTGGAGATAGAGCAACTTCAGCAATCAATGCAAGGGTTCTGGGGTGCTGGAGGGAAAGAAGCATCTGAAGCAAGGGGTGTGACCGTGATTTTTAGGGACTAGGAACCAGGTCAAGATGACCAGTTGAAGAACCTGGTATATTGATCCTGGAGAAGAAAAGCTTTAGGGGAGTCAGGATAACTTTCATTTAAGTATTTGAAAGGCCATCACATGGTAGGGACTGCCATTTGCCTTCTTTTTGTTTTCTAAGCATTTAGTATAGTGCCTGGTACATAGTAGGTGCTCAATAAAAGTTTGTTCATTGACTGTTTGGTAAAGGGGTTTGGCTTGTTCTTCTTGGTCCCAGAGGACAGATGAAAAGAGGTTTCAGGGAGGCAGTTGGAATAATAAAAGCTTTCATAAAAGTATAATAAACTCCTTGAGGACAAAAATGATTTCATTTTTTTTCTTTGTGTTTCCAGGAACTGGAACTATTCCTGACACAGTTGACAAATGCTTGTTGACTGAATGATTTGATGAGTTTCCTCAACAGGTAATGAGCTCCCCCCTCATCGAATGGACTCACCCTATAGGCTAGATGGCAATTTGTCAGAAAAGCTGGGGAGAGGATTCCCGTTCAGGTAGGTGGTGTATGAACTCCATCCCAACGGACGGGTAAATTCTCCATTAGCAAAGAAAACAAACAGGTCCTGGCAATTTCCACACCCTCTGTCTTGACCAGAATCCATAGGAATTTGGAAAATGATGTTCAGTTGTTTCCCTTCTAAGGACAGAGGGTGGAACCATTTCCTGGCTCTTTGGAATTTACTGGCAAGCTCTAGGATGAAGGAGGCTGCAGGCAAGAATGACTTGGGTCTCCTCCCATCCCTCAGGTCCATTTGTGTGCCTGCATCACAAGACCACAAAGGAAAGGTCTTGCTCTCTCAAAAAAGCCCACAGATTACTGGAGAAAGAATGGAATTCTGTGTTTTGGGAATGCCAGCATGGTGGCAGTGCTACCCGTTCTGAATAGTGGGAAGGACAAAGAAGACACTACCTAGTGGCCAAGAGGGAAGGAGGCATGCGTCTATGGGGTCTTTCCTTGTACCCATTGGCCTAGATGTGGCAATGTTGGATACCACAGGAAGGAGACAGCTCTTCTATCTGCGTTTTGTCCGCAGGGCTCTTGTCTTAATTGCTATTTGATATCGTAGAAAGAGCTTTGAACTGGGAGTCTAAGACTTTGATTCCAGCTCTGGAGGCAGAGGACCCTGGTTAAAAACCTCATCACTGATGCTTAATACCTATATAACTTTGAGAAAGTCACCTATTCAATGAATCCATCAATAAACATTGATTAAGCACCAACTTAATTAATTAAGCACCAACCTAGGCACTATGCTAAGTGTGGGCACACAAAAAGAAGCTTACAATCTAATGGAGAGACAATAGGCAAACAAATATTTACACAGCAAGCAATATACAAGACAAATAGGAAATAATTTACAGAGGGAAGGAACTGGAACTAACAGGGGTTGGGGAAGGCTTCCTAAAGAGGGGGAGTTTTTAGTTGGAATTTAAAGGAAACCAGGGAGGTCAGCAGTTGGAGCAGAGGAGGGAGAGTGTTCCAGGCATGGGGGATGGCCAGAGAAAAGGCCTGGACAGGAGAGATGGAAGGTCCTGTTCGAGGCTGGTGTCACTAGGTCAAAAAGTACATGGAAGGGAGTAAGGTATAAGAAGACAGGAAAGGTAGGAGGGACCCAGGATATGAAGGGCTTTGAATGCTCCTGGAGGTGATGAGAGCCACTGGAGTTTTTGGAGTAGGGGTTGGGTGGTGGTGGCATGGTCAGACCAGCACTTTAGGAAAATCACTTTCATAACTGAATGAAAGATGGAGTGGAATGAGGAGACCTGGGGCAGATAAGACCCACCAGTAGCTATGCAATAGTCCAAGCATGAGGTGATGAAGGTGAGCACCAGAATGACGGTGATGACAGAGGAGAGAAGGGGGCGTATTTGAGAGATGGTAGGAAGGTAAAATCAACAGGCCTTGCCAACAGCTTGGCTATGGGGGGGCGGTGCGCAGGGGGAGAGATAGTGAGGATTCCATGGTGACTCTTTGATTGCAAGCCTGAGGGACTGGAGAGGATGAGGGAGCCCTCAACAGTCATAGGGAAGGTAGGAGGGGAAGAAGGTTTAGGGGGAAAGACAAGTTGGACATGTTGAGTTTAAGATGACTACTGGACATCCAGTTGGAGATATGAGATTGCAGGTTAGCAGAGAGATTGGGGCAGGAAAGGTAGATCTGAGAATTAACAGCACAGAGAAGGTCATGAAATCCCTGAGAGCTGTTGAGATCACCAAGTAAAGTAGGATAGAGGGAGAAGAGAAGAGGGCCCAGGACAGGACCTTGAGGGACACCTACAGTTAAAGGGCACAGTCTGAAGAAGGATCCAGTGAAGGACAGAGAAGAAGTGGTCAGATAGGCAGGAGGAGAACCAAGAGAGAAGTGGTGGAAAACCTAGAGAAAAGGGAGCATCAGGGAGGAAAGAGTGACCAACAGCATCAAAGACCACAGAGAGGTCAAGGAGAAGGAGGACTGAGAAAAAGCCACTGGATTTGGCTCATAAGTGATCATTAGTAACCTTAGAGAGAGCAGTTTGGGGGGAATAATAAGGCTGGAAGCCACATTATAAGATGTTCAGTGAGTGAGAGGAGAGAAAGCGGAGGCACCAATTATAGATGGCTTTTTTGAGTTTAGCCCTACAAAGGGCAGAAGAAAAATAGGACAGTAGTTAGCAGGAAGAGAAAAGGACCAAGTGAGGGGCTTTTCAGAATAGGGGAGACATGGACATGTTGGACAGGGAGAGATAGAAAATAAGTGAAAGATTGGGGATGATGAAAGGGGCAATCTGAGGAGACAGGATGGAATGGGATCACTTCAACGAATGGAGGAGTTAGCCTTGGTAGGGAATAAAGGCCACTTCACATGAGACCTCCCTGAGCCTCAGTTTCTGCATCTGTAAAATGAAGGTGATTGGACTAGATGGACTTCAAGGATTTTTCCAACTCTAGACTTATGAGCCTACATTGTATTGTGCGACCCTGAGTTAGTCATTTCCCTTCTCTAGTTTAACCTGTTCCAGTCCTTTCTCTCATCCCACTTGCCCAGAAAGATCTCTATCACAAACCTACCAAAGGTCCTATATTCTGCCATTAATGATTGAGTCATTCCTTTGGGGTCTGAGGCATCTGGGGTTTTCAAGACTCCTTCATGGAAATGCCAACCACCTTCGGGAGGAAGGAGCACCAATATAATGAGAAGATTGGACTAAATAATTACTAAAATAATCACCCAGCCCATCCCCCTCATTTTACAGATAAAGAAACAGAGGCTTGCCAAAGCCTTTTAAAGTCACAAATAGCAAAGCCTGGATTTGGACTGAGATCTCTAACTTTAAATCTAGCATTTGACTACAATAGGCACCTCTCTAATTTTCTCTCTAATTCCCACATTGTGAGATTCTGAAATATTTCCATCAGCAGAGCCATTGTTTCCCACTGATCAAGAACTATATACATAACTGAAGTTGAGAGCCAGCTACCTGTTCAGTGTAATTTCAAAACAGAGGTCTGGTTCAACCCATA